ATGTACAAACATTCACCTGAACACGTGTGGGATCAGTAATGGCTGGACAAATGTTTATGTCCGTAAACGTGGATACCATAAATGTCGTCTTTACTCACACAAAGAAAAATATAAACAACAGACTGGTGTCATCTCTGATCCTTTATGTGGTGGCCAAGTGGTTACAACGCTCGTCTCTTGTCCTAATGGTCGCAGGCTAGGTACTCCGAGTCCACCCAGCTGTAAATGGGTACCTAAATTTACAGTTGGGGAAGTGTAAGGAGGTCGAGTGCAGTGTCACGCGCCACACATGGGCGCTTGACGTAACTCGTGCTACTTTAACGTCACTATGCCACCCCTGATGTCTCTATGATGTTTTTGACATTACTGTTACTGCCTGAGTGACATCCGTGACATCCCCTGCCACCCCATGATGCCGTTGTGTCATCCCCTGCCGCAGAATGTCAACCTTCATGATGGTTTGTCACGTGTGGTTGACTGTCACTAATTTACTGTCTCAAGTGTAATGATAAACTCTTCCACACGCTCGTCTGTCTGTCTGTCCGTCCCTCTATCCATCCATCTCTGTTCCTGATGATGATGCCTACCTGTCTGTCTTGGCTGGTTTCTTCGTCTGTTCTGTCGACGTCTTACCCCAATCTGTCTGTAGTGCAGGGCATGTGTGTGTGTGTGTGTGTGTGTGTGTGTGTGTGTGTGTGTGTGTGTGTGTGTGTGTGTGTGTGTGTGTGTGCGTGTGTGTGTGTGTGTGTGTGTGTGTGTGTGTGTGTTGTTCTTTATGGTGTAAGTCACTAAGAACGAAAGTAAATAAATTAGTAAGCATAATTAAATAAAATTACCCAGTATAAGTAAACAAATACGCAAACAAAAAGCAAACATCTAAACAAATAAGTAAGTTTCCACATACAAAAAACATTCGCCATTACGGTGAGCAGGACTCCAGCCATTTACAAAGGGGGAACAGCCTCCCCCTCCTCTCACGTGAAGAGAAACGAAATAACAAAAGGAATTTCTCTGGACGGACGGAAGCCTCGGTAAATCCTTATTGTGGGTCGCTGCATCATCACCCCTCAATCCTACCCTGGAGAGAGAGAGAGAGAGAGAGAGAGAGAGAGAGAGAGAGAGAGAGAGAGAGAGAGTTATCTGCCATCCAAACCACTATACCTCATCGTGAAGTGAACGTCACAACCCACAACATTACCACCACTACCTCCCCCACTACCACCACCACTACCTCCACCACCACCACCACCACTACCTCACCCACTACCTCCCCCACCACCACCACAACCCCCAACACAACCACCATTCATATATACACAGCACGTCACACAGGCAGGCACATTCATCTGCAGGAGGGCATGATTGACAGAGGGCTGGTTGAGGTGTGCTTGGGTCTTGGTGGTGGGTCTGGTTACCACACAAACCTTAGTGTTGATGAGTCTGGCCACTTGACTCACAGATGGCTCTCTCTCTCTCTCTCTGCTTCTTGGTGAGTTAAGATGTGGGACCAAGTGAGTGGGCACACTTAGCTTTGATTTTGGGTAAACAAACCACTTAATTCTTGTTACACTCTCTCTCTCTCTCTCTCTCTCTAGGTGAACACACGTCTGCCTGTCTGTCTGTCTCTCTCATGCTCCAGATCCTTCTCCCTTCCCTCATACATTTCCACAATGCAGGTAGGTACTGGTCCTTGGTGTTGTGACCTTACTTAACCATTATATATTGCTCCAGAAACAGGTAATGTATGTGCGGGTGTGTGTGTGTGTGTGTGTGTGTGTGTGTGTGTGTGTGTGTGTGTGTGTGTGTGTGTGTTACGCTATGTCAGGTTAGTTTAAGTTGGAGTTAGGTTATTTAATCATTATTTGAAGAAAAAAAAACCTGGGATGTCTAATCTTCAGGTGATCCCCACAACTAAAACCACTGTATTAAAATTTAATCACGAGAACTCCTACTTATAAACGAGCACCTAACTTTGCAGACGGGGAGGTAAAGGCATTCTAGTGCTGTGCCCGCTACTCATCCACCCCCCACACCTTCTTCACACACACACACAAGCCAGTACATCTCTGTGTAGTCCGGACGCAGCAGCTTCAGGAGGGTGTTTGGAGAGCTGAGGGAGTACTTCTCGGCGCCTGCCCCTCGTTATTCAGTTCCTTGTTGACATTAACACCAGGGAGATACTGACCTAACTCCTTCCCCTGTGTGTGTGTGTTTTAGGTTAGATTAGGTGTGGGTACAATGAAGACTAGACCTTCAGTACACAAGGAGCCAGACATTGTACCCGTCCACCTTCACTTCCCCAAACTATAAAGTTAGGTTGCCTGGCTGGGATTTTCCGTGATCGAACGCCTGAAATTTTGGACAGGAACCGAGAATTGCATTCACTTGGCCACCAGAATCCAACAAACACACACACACACACACACACACACACACACACACACACACACACACACACACACACACACACACACACACACACACACCGTTGTCATTGCCTCCAGCTTTTTATTAATTGTCTTAAATATTTCACAGGTAGAAACGGTTCCAAACACATCACTCGTATTCTACCTGTAATTAACTCGTATTTACCTGTAACATGACCTGAGAGCCGAAAGTTTACAAGGATACAGTGTGTAGTGTTGACCCGTGTGTGTGTGAGAGAGATCCTACCATTATGACCTATCCTTCACCATCTCACACCTCCTGTACCCTCACATGTCCTGCACCCTCACTCCCTCACCCCTCCTACACCCTCACCCCCCCCTTCTCCCCCACCACCACACACTGTGATAGATGATAACATTCATAAATAATCATGTTTATTTGTTTTAGTTTATTCTCTGTCATGGCTCTGTGCATTGTTGTATGTCATCAGCTGTTGTTGTTGTTGTTGTTGTTGCATCACACTCGTCTCTCTTGTTTACATAAATGAATAATAAATTGTGTGTGTTGGTTTTATTAATTGAATAAAATATATCTCCTCCTTTCCTCGACAGTGTGTGGTGGTGGTGGTGATGGGGTGGTAGTGATGGTGGTGATAAGGTGGGAGTGGTGGTTGTGGTAGTAGTGGTGATGGTGCTAGTGGTGGTGCTGATGGTGGTGGTAGTGGTGGTTGTAGTGGTGATGGTGGTTGTGGTGGTGGCGGTAGTGGTGGTGATGGTGGTTGTGGTGGTGATGATGGTAGTGGTGATGGTGGTAGTAGGTGTGGTGATGGAGGCGACACATACAGTATATCCCCAAAAGGAATTTATCACCTATCATCACAACATAACATAACAGAAAAGCCTCCCACAGTATAACAGCCTTCCACAGTATAACAGCCTCCCACAGCTTATAACAGCCTCCTTCACTATATTTCACCAGACAGCCTCACCATCAACCCACAACTTTTACACAACATTATTACTAAAACACTCAAGGTAACTACATCAAGGCAGGCAGGTATACACACGCGTCGGGTCTCAGCGTTGAGTAATAAGGACTACAACTGGTCTTATGACGTCTGCAAGCAAGGTCACTTACGCGCATGAACGTTACTCTCAGAATCTCCTAAACACACACACACACACACACACACACGGAGGTGACTATGTAAAAGAGTGGGAAAAGAAGGGCATTTTAAACTTAAGTTGTAATATATATATATAAAGAGAGAGAGAGAGAGAGAGAGAGAGAGAGGCAACTTAGAATACTGTATCATAAGGACGTGTGTGTGTGTGGGGTGCAGGATAGGCCAACTACGCTACTGTCCCCCGTCGTCCCACACACCTCACTACAATACACTGACTATAATCTCTACTCTACCCCCCAGAGATCACCACACATAATATATTTAAGTTCCTTCTCTGCACTTATGTTCCGCTACTTGTATCATTATTTACACAAACACGTTCTTTACGGTCTGCCTGGATGCTCCTACGTCTTCTTGTCTTAAAGAACAAAATCTGGCTCCCTAGACACGTAGTTAAGATGTGTCTGTGAAGCATAAGTGACCTGTCTGTTAATAGTGTCTGTGTACAACTTACCTCTTCTCCCCTCATCTCTCTCCCTCTACCCCCCCTTTCCCTCCCTCTCTCCTGCAAAAATCCAAACCAAACAGCGTCAAAATCTGAAATCTGGTCAGGTAACCCAGGGACAGATATATTGAAGGTTGGTACATCACACTGAGCACACAAAGAGGCACTGCAGTGGACAACCTTTACCTCCCCATCAGTAGAGTTAGGTACAGTACTTACTCTCAGGTAGGTAGAGTAGCCTTGAGGCGGGGCCCCCGGATGTGACCGAGAGACACTTGCGACAGTAAACGAGGACTACTGTACAGTGTATCCACTTTTTGTGTAACTTTCTAATTAACTCGGATATGACGGAAGTACTGAAGGACGGACGGACGGACGGACGGACAAGGAAATGACAATTAATATTATAATAACAACATACACGGATAGATGTACACACACACACACACATACCAGCGGCTGTAACGCAACATGTAGTGACACAAGAATCGGGGAATGCCCAATCACGAGGAACTGATTATATGTTAAGATCCTTCCCACTATTACCTGTGTCCTAATGTATCACCCGTGCCCTAATGTATCACCCGTGTCCTGATGTATTACCCGTGTCCTAATGTATCACCCGTGTCCTGATGTATTACCCGTGTCCTAATGTATCACCCGTGTCCTGATGTATTGCCCGTGTCCTAATGTATCACCCGTGCCCTAATGTATCACCCGTGTCCTGATGTATCACCCGTGTCCTGATGTGTCACCCGTATCCTAATGTATCACCCGTGTCCTGATGTATTACCCGTGTCTTAATGTATCACCCGTATCCTAATGTATCACTCGTGTCCTGATTTATTACCCGTGTCCTATAATATAATAGTTTAACCCTTTGAAGACTATGGTTTAACCCTTTGAAGACTATGGTTTAACCCTTTGACTAAAAAACCCGGAGACAGGTGAGAGGTAAGGCAGGTACAGACTGTAATTTACCTGTAGGAGGAGGGCGCCGTCTCTGACAATGACTCTGACGCAGAACTTGTGACCTGAAGTACCACAGGGCACCACCACGTGTACCTCCTCGATCTGTGAGTACGGCACCAGTGACTCCAACAGACCCGTCGACTGTAACGAGAGAAGATCATGGTTAGTACAGGAGTAGGTAAGATTTATAAAGGCATTGGTTACAGCACTGTCGATTGTAACCTAACCTAACCTAACCCTGTCCTACACTTCCCTCCCGCCCTTCCCTCAGTTTCCCTCCTCCCTCCCGTCCATCCCTCCCTACCGTCCTTCCATCCCTCCCCTCCCGTCCTTCCATCCCTCCCAACCCTACCCTCCCGTCCCAACACAGCGTCACCATCAGTATAAGGTAGGGGAGGAGGGCGGGCCACTATTATATATATAGTGTTAGGACAGACAAAAACTACTGCTGTGTTAAGGCCAACATAACCTCACCTGTCATTAGTTGTTGACAGGTGAAGCTGGCTTGGCTCTCTCATCTCCTTCTGTCACATTGATCATGGCTGTAAATAGTACTGTTTATGTCTTATCCCAGGAATTAAGTTATTTCTGTCTAGTATCTACTGACTCTATAGACCTCCATTGTGTGACGGTCGGACGGAAGGAGGGATAAAAGGAGGGTACGAAGGAGGGATAAAAGGAGGGTAGGAAGGAGGGACAAAAGGAGGGTAGGAAGGAGGGACAAAAGGAGGGTAGGAAGGAGGGATAAAAGGAGGGTAGGAAGGAGGGATAAAAGGAGGGTAGGAAGGAGGGATAAAAGGAGTGGTAGGAAGGAGGGTACAAAGGAGGGATAAAAGGAGGGTAGGGAAGAGGGATAAAAGGAGGGTAGGAAGGAGGGCACGAAGGAGGGATAAAGGAGGGTACGAAGGAGGGATAAAAGGAGGGCATGAAGGAGGATAAAAGGAGGTAGGAAGGAGGGATAAAAGGAGGGCAGGGAAGGAGGGGATAAAGGAGGGTAGGAAGGAGGATAAAAGGAGGGTAGGAAGGAGGACAAAGGAGGGCATGAAGGAGGGACAAAAGGGAGGGTAGGGAAGGAGGGATAAAAGGAGGGTAGGAAGGAGGGATAAAAGGAGGTAGAAGGAGGATAAAAGGGAGGGTAGGAATGAGGATAAAAGGAGGGTAGGAAGGAGGGATAAAAGGAGGGTAGGAAGGAGGGATAAAAGGAGGGTAGGAAGGAGGGACAAAAGGAGGGTAGGAAGGAGGGATAAAAGGAGGGTAGGAAGGAGGGACAAAAGGAGGGTAGGAAGGAGGGATAAAAGGAGGGTAGGAAGGAGGGATAAAAGGAGGGTAGGAAGGAGGGATAAAAGGAGGGTAGGAAGGAGGATAAAAGAGGGTAGAAGGAGGATAAAAGGAGGGAAGGAAGGAGGGATAAAAGGAGGGAAGGAAGGAGGGACAAAAGGAGGGTAGGGAAGGAGGACAAAAGGGAGGGTAGGAAGGAGGATAAAGGAGGGTAGGAAGGAGGGATAAAAGGAGGGTAGGAAGGAGGGATAAAAGGAGGGGTAGGAAGGAGGGACAGGAGGTAGGAAGGAGGGGACAAAAGGAGGGTAAGAAGGAGGGATAAAAGGAGGGTAGGGAAGGAGGGACAAAAGGAGGGTAGGAAGGAGGGATAAAAGGAGGGTAGAGGGGGGGGAAAAGGAGGTAAGAAGGAGGGACAAAAGGAGGGTAGGGAAGGAGGATAAAAGGAGTGGTAGGAAGGAGGGACAAAGAGGGTGGTGAAGGAGGGGATAAAAGAGGTAGGGAAGGAAGGATAAAAGAAGGATAGGAAGGAGGGACAAAGGAGGTAGGAGGAGGGACAAAGGAGGGTAGGAAGGAGGATAAAAGGAGGGTAGGAAGGAGGGATAAAAGGAGGGTAGGGAAGGAGGATAAAAGGAGGATAGGAAGGAGGAACAAAAGGAGGGTAGGAAGGAGGGGATAAAAGGAGGGTAGGAAGGAGGGACAAAAGGAGGGTAGAAGGAGGATAAAAGGAGGTAGGAAGGAGGGATAAAAGGAGGGTAGGAAGGAGGGATAAAAGAAGGGTAGGAAGGAGGGACAAAAGGAGGGTAGGAAGGAGGGACAAAAGGAGGGTAGGAAGGAGGGATAAAAGGAGGGTAGGAAGGAGGGATAAAAGGAGGATAGGAAGGAGGAAAAAGGGTAGGAAGGAAGGATAAAAGAAGGATAGGAAGGAGGGACAAAAGGAGGGTAGGAAGGAGGGACAAAAGGAGAGTAGGAAGGAGGGATAAAAGGAGGGTAGGAAGGAGGGATAAAAGGAGGATAGGAAGGAGGAACAAAAGGAGGGTAGGAAGGAGGGATAAAAGGAGGGTAGGAAGGAGGGACAACAGCAATGCAATACAGCTCTTCTAAGACGTGTAATAATGTGTGTGTGTGTGTGTGTGTGTGTGTGTGTGCACAGTACAGTGACGTCATCAGAGGCCACTTATTTTCGTATCCAACAAAGTTTCTCAGCCATAAAAATTCTGATTCAGATTAATTTCTGTTTACGACTTTTAATTCCGATGAATAAACTGTCTGTCTTGTCTCCCTGTCTCTCTCTCTGTCTATGTAATTTCTGTATATTTTTCTATGCTCTTGTCTGTATGTCTATATTTGTCTATGTCTGGCTATGGTCTTTGTTTATTCTACTCCATGCGTCTGTATGTTTCTTATGATTGTCTTGATATCTTTAAGTTGTCTGTCTGTCTATCTGTCTGTCTATCTATCTATTTAAGTCTATCTGTCTGTTTCTCTATCAAAGGACCATTCCCATTTATTAAGGTGAAGTGAATTACCAAGAGATGCTACCACCTCAATCAGGATAATTACCAGATGTTACCATGGCAACCCCGAACCGGAAATCCACCAGCAAGTGGGCGGTGATCTCTCTCTCGCTCTTCTTCCATCTCCCCTCCCTCCTTTTCTCCTACCATCCTTCCCTCTCTCCCTATCTTTCTTCTTCCCATCCTCCCACTCGGGTCTCTTCCTCCAGTCAACGCCCCCAGAGCCATCATGTGGTTAGAGGACATGGTTACCTTTGCTTTACGGCTCTCCTGATTGGCTCATAACAAAGACAACTGCTGAATAACGAGAAGACTTTGCCAGAGAGAGAGAGAGAGAGAGAGAGAGAGAGAGAGAGAGAGAGACGAACGAACGAACGAACGAACGAACGAACGAACGAACGAACGAACGAACGAAAGAAAGAAAGAAAGAAAGAAAGAAAGAAAGAAAGAAGTCATTATCTAACGCAAGAGAAGTGCGTCACGACAAGTCCTGTGTTCAGATAAAGGTATTCAAGAAACATCCTGTCACACACACACACACACACACACACACACACACACACAGAGGACTTGCTAAATAAACATTCATATACATTTAGGTACACACAACATAAGTCAACATACAGTACAACATCAATATACTGTACATGTAAATATCACCCAAAATTTTGTCACTTTTGTCTGTTATGTCGAGTGAGTGACAGGTGTTGATGTGACACTCGGCCAGGGTACAGTATACACTTATATGGACTCCAGAACAAGAGTCCACAACATCCAACAAGAGTCCACAACATCCAACAAGAGTCCACAACAACTACAAAGAGTCCACAACATCCAACAAGAGTCCACAACAACTACAAAGAGTCCTCAACATCCAACAAGAGTCCACAACAACTACCAAGAGCGCTGTATACACTCGGCCACCGCACACTTACTGAATTATAATGCAAGATCTGTATCACATTTATAACACGTTCACTGCCACTACATGAGATTCACTGTACCACTAAGATACATAATTAATACTGTACCTTAAGTGATATTTCCTCAATAAACTCACTGATTCTGTAATGTTCTGATGGAGTCAAGTTCCATGTGAGGATGTTGTGTGTTCCGCTAAGTGTGAGAAACGATCTCTTCTTCACCCGTAAGTTGTGTTGTTTTGGTCATCTAGTGCATAATTAAGTAACATAACACGTACGTAACAGTTTATTTATGTCAAGGTGAAGTTATCTCTCTCTCTCTCTCTCTCTCTCTGTTAGGGACGCCATAGTTTTGACCTCGAGATAAGCCCAGGATTTTTTGTCCTCCAACATTCGTATAATCTCGCCAGACCTCGCCAGACCTAGACCAACCTTCAGGGGCTAAATCTTCGAGGGTAAAACCGACCAGAACGGAAATATACAAGGTCAGGTGTTGTCAGTGTGTGTGTGTGTGTGTGTGTGTGTGTGTGTGTGTGTGTGTGTGTGTGTGTGTGTGTGTGTGTGTGTGTGTGTGTGTGTGTGTGTGTGTGTGTGTGTGTGCGTGTGCGTGCGGGAAGATGGTGTTGTGTGTTAGGTCAGGTTAGGTAAGATAAGGTAAGGGTTAGTTAGATAAAATTAGGTCAGGTTCATGTTAGGTTAATTGAAATTAGGTTAGGTTTGGTGAGGGAGGGAGGGAGGGAGGAGAAACAATATCTACCTGTTATCAAAGTCTGTCAGTATCCGGCACGAGTAAGAGATGCCAAGTGTAGCTTCCTTTGTGTTAGTCATGGTGTTATATCCTGCTAATTTCACCCCCCCCTCTCTCTCTCTCTCTCTATCTCTCCCTGGAACTTTGGTGATATTCTTTCTCACTCTCTCTCCAATTCTTATTTTAGCATCATCTCTCACTCCCTCCTACGTCAGGTGTCAGTCTCCACAGGTGTGTAAACAGAAGCACGCCAAGACCCACCTTCCCAAAGACTTATACACCAAAACCTACCAATACCTCGAGCTGGTAGTCCATTTATAGTCTCTGAATAATATCAAGGCCATTGTGTCTCTTGGCGTCCCAGCTTAAGACGATAAAAGTGTTCTTAAAAGGATCAAGACTTGGATATAGGGATGGATTTGGGTGTTAATTTAGTGATCACCTGAATATTAGCCCTCCACCTTATTTCACCCGATGATTAACAAACTTAACACAAATCTAAGCTAATTTTACCTAACCTAAACGTAAATTAACCTATCTTAATCTATTTAATCTAACCTAACCTAACAAGTGATGGTGTGGCCTCTATCTCACTGTCAGGGCCACACACTGTAGTAATAAGTGATGGTGTGGCCTCTACCTCACTGCCAGGGCCACACACTGTAGTAATAAGTGATG